TTTGTGGTCCTTATGTGAGTCGTAACCAGGCCCCCATGGTCTGGGTACCGCATCTTTGTATTGTGGAGTTTAGCACCTGCCTAGTGCAGGTAGGAAGCTTCTGCCAGCTCATGATTGGAACTGGCAGTAGTTCCTGGACTCCCTCTAAAGTCATAAGTCAATAAGTGAAAAGGTCAGAGGTCAGGTCATTTGGTTAGTTTTCCTATTTGAACACGCTTGCATGCTAAGGTTGCTGTTATGACATAGCAAAGAACAGGCAATACAGTTAGTATATAGTATATACAATTGTGTCCTAACCATGCTAGTGCTCGTGCTGTAAGTTCATGTAGTGGTACCCCGGCCGAGTGTTTGCCCAGCTCGTCAGCTGTACACTCCTCCCCCATTCTGTCCGGTGTGACCATCTCATTCTGCAGGGTTCAGTTATCCAGCCCAGTCCGTCTGTGGACCAACCCAGGTGAGCATAGATACCCGTTCCCCTACCTTTTGGTTATCACTCCTCTGGCGCAGAATGGAACAGGGGGGGTAGGATATGTACAGTTGCCTCTTTTTTATCCAGGCGCTCGTCCGGGTGGTGTTCACTTGTGAACCATGCGTCTGTGCTGACTGTGGTTTAGGCTGCTCGGCTGGCCTCATGAAAGCGTGTCATGAGGCTCGTAACTAGCCTTGCAGCCCTGTATGCATTCTCACCTGCATAGGTTTTGGGGGCTGTCCCCCTCCTACTTGGTGGAGAAGTTCCTGGGGAGTTGGGGGAGAGGTTAGGCTTTGGGGCCTGTCTCTCCTGTTTTGTCCAATAGTTTAGCGGGTTGGTATTTGGCCATGGTTAGGGCTTTCCAGGTTTCCCCTTTGTGCCCTTTTTCCCATATGGGTGGCCCTGTCCTCCGGTGTGGGTCAGAGATGCTCCGTCTCATCTCTGAGTGTTCCCCTTTGGGTAGAACAGTGTCTGTGGCTGCATGACTTGGTACCGGTCAGTGACTTGGGTCCTTGTCCCCAACTTCCGGGGCTTTTGAAGCCCTTTAATGTGCCACAGTTGTCTGACACTTCGTGTCAGATGCCATCTTTTTAGACATGGTTGGCAGTAACATGTTTGTTTATTGGTAGTTTGGGGTTGGACGGGCTTACATGAGACGGGTCTCCCAGGATGATTTGGTCATCTTGGGTAAGTTCCTCATGTCGTGTTTATGAGACGTGCGTGCGCCTTGGTGCATTTGGTCCTTGTTAAGGGGACGGTGGATTTGGGCAAGTTACTCAAGCATTTCTGCCCTTTCATTTGCTTGTATGGTTTCGACTGATCTGCACCGGCTCACCCAGATTTGGTACGAGGCGGCGATGGCCTTCTTCTGGATGCTCCGTTGCAGATCCCCGGTTAGTCGCTTTGCATCTTTGATGCCTAACCGGTTGAGGAGCTCCTTGCCGTCGCCTTTGTTGACACCACCGAGGTGGCCGATGGGCCATGCTATCATAGTAACATTATATGACTCTGTTTCAAGAAATCTTGCCAACCATGCGTACTTTTCCTCCTTCTTGGCCTTACGGTCAAGATATCGGCGTTCAGAGCACACAGTTATTTCGGCAATGATTACCTTTTTCTCAGCGTCATTAATGTACATGAGGTCTGGCTTCGTGCCCTCGTTTGCCAGACGAGCGCCAGACTCACATCGGCTTGCCCAGTGTGCCTTGGCACTGTCTGGCATTGTGTCTGTGAGGACCCTCCAGCCTGGGTTCATCCACTTTTCTGTAAAGTTCTTGATGAACTTTACAATGTCGTGGTGTGCCCTTGTCCGGAGGCCTTGCCATGACGGGCAACCTCTGAGGGCATGTATCATCCATTCGTCTTGATACACTCCCCGCTCCTTGTAACAGAGGTCACAGTATGCATGCCCATGTGTCTTTGCTCGGTAGTAAAGGAATGCATTCGTAGGCAAGGCCTCCAACCTTGCTTTGAGTGCAAACCTGAACATGGGCATCGGCAAGTTGAGGTGGACCAGATTGACAGAGTTTTTGGACTTTAGAAGGGAGGATGGGATAGCATTGTACCATAATCCCGAGCTCTTCTGCGCTTTCAGCTTTTCAATGAGTTGTTCACTGTATTTCTTTCGCACAAGCGATTTTAGCCTGTTGTATGTCCGTATATGTTTTCCATCCATCTCTATTTTCCAGTTACTCTGGTCATCCTTTTTTATTACTATGCCGAGTTTGTTACTCTCAACCGCGATGTTTGAGAGGTACCTGTTCTCTGCACGTAAGTGTCCACAGGCTCCGTCTACAAAGACTCGGTTATTCCTTTGGCATCGTTTCAGTGCCCATCCAAATGTGTTGCTGCTGTTAATTTCTGGTTTAACTTTGGCTTCATAGCCATTGATAGACCAGTCCAGCACTGCGCTGAACTGTTTCTCATTGCTGAGAATCAGTTTGCACAGGAACATTGTGGGGGCGAAACGTGCTCGGAAGTCTGTGTATGGCAATCCCAGGCCACCTAGTTTGGCTGGGAGGGCGATGAGTGACTTGGGCAGAAATTTTACCTTGGGACTGCGGAAGATTTTCTGTTTGAGCAGTTTGTCTCTCGCAATGTCCCACTTCCTTGCTTGTCCCAGGGAGATCACCCCAGTTGGGAGCCAGTACGCCGGTTTGCTGGTAATGCAATCCCGGATTGTTGCCAGGAAGTTGGTAGGGGTTATGTTAGCTTTAATAAGCGCATCTGCCCCGGGTTCCCCTTGATGTGTTGTATCATCATTGCCGTCATTGGGGCGGGTAAAGTCTGTCCATTTCTGAATAGCTTTGTCCAGTTTGCCCCTAAGTTCAGTCACAGATCGGGAGCCATATTGGTCGACACCTAGGTATTTGTATCCCGCAACCGTCGGGACCAGTTCCCCATTGTCGTCCATTATAATAATAAAAGCCCTCCCTGGAGCAGGTTCCTTTAAAGAAGGAAAGGGGAGAGTATTAATTAGGACTCCTTAGGAGTCTTAATTAATATTTTTATACAAATCTTATAGCAACACGGGATGAATCTCAGTGGATCGTAGCAGCAAGGCCACTCTACCACTTACAATACCCAGTTGCAACAAAGTCGTCTGCAGAGGATTTACCCCAATGACGAGTGGAATTGTCGTGCTTGGCACCCGTATTGGACTTGTGATCCTAACGGGGAAACCAACGGATATGCTCCAGCATCCACACAGGCGGATGTATCCTTAGTCGGGTGACATCATTGGGAAAGTGACTCCGCACCTAGCATGTCTTCTGACTTAGAGGCGTTCAGTCATTAGACTACAGATGTTAGCTTCGCCCCATTGCCTTTTCAGGCAAGGGCATTTACCAATTATCTTAAACGGCGGTTCCTCTCGTACTGAGCCGTATTACTATGGCGGAATCGGTCCAACAGTAGGGTAAAACTAACCTGTCTCACGACGGTCTAAACCCAGCTCACGTTCCCTATTAGTGGGTGAACAATCCAACGCTTGGTGAATGCTGCTTCACAATGATAGGAAGAGCCGACATCGAAGGATCAAAAAGCAACGTCGCTATGAACGCTTGGCTGCCACAAGCCAGTTATCCCTGTGGTAACTTTTCTGACACCTCTAGCTTCAAATCCCGAAAGGCTAAAGGATCGATAGGCCATGCTTTCACAGTTTGTATTCGTACTGAAAATCAAAATCAAATGAGCTTTTACCCTTTTGTTCTACACGAGATTTCTGTTCTCGTTGAGCTCATCTTAGGACACCTGCGTTATCTTTTAACAG